TCATTTTTATATCACTTTCCCACATAAGCCTGTTAGAGATGTAATATTAATTACCCAGAAATCTCAGTCTGCAATTGTTCCAACATCATGCTTTAATGAATACAGACTTCATTGCATGTATTTCTACTACTTTAGTGACTTCGATTTCTATTTTTATTGCAAAGTTCTGTGCAAATAAAAGAATATCAAAAGGTATGGCTATAAACGTGCTCTGCTAAATTCCCTCTGCCTTGAAATGCCTGTGAACTTCTGCTACAAAATGCCGGCTGCATTTTAATGCCTTTCTTGCAGGCAACATGTTATGGTAGAAATCACACTAGTCCTGAAGTCACACAACTCCTGGTCCACCATCTACCAGTTGTGCTATTTGTTTGAGCTTCAATGCCGGCATCTGCAAAATGTCACTAACTATGTCATCCTCACAAATTTGATTGAGGATTAAAGCAGGCGAAGTATGTAAAGCATAAATACTATGCTTAGGGCATCATAGGAGCTTAATATGTGTTAGTTTCTTTTCTCCAGCCTGCAGCAGTAATGGGAGGAGACCTTGGCAGACACAAATGAACACTCACTTTTAAAATGCACTTCAATTAAGGTCACTGTAAACGAGGAGAATGTGAAGAGTAAGAAGAATAAGGTTAGATTTCAAAGGAGCAGATAATGCCTTACTGTGATGTTTATTGCATATGGAAATGTATTACTATAGGTTTACTGCATATGGGAATATATTACTATGAATGAAAGGACCTGGTTTCTGAACTCCTTTACAACTTTAAATTCCGTCCAGCTCTGAAGTGTAATAAGAAGAGCCTATTTAACTACCTCTGCCTTTAAAGGCATAAGCAGTATCATTTACACAAAGTCACTACAATATAAATCTGTTTGGTTATACTGTTTGATTTAATTATACATAAAATTTCAGCACATTGAAAGCGTAAGAGTGGCACTGATCATCTACATATGAATACAGGTGGACTAGGAACTTTTTTTGTCAGAATGGCCAACCTTTACTTCATGCAATGAACAAATAATACAGAAAGCTTAGTTTTCAAAGTAGGAATTTAAAGATGGGATTATTGCTACCTTGACTGATTTTATATAGTTCCCAAGGCTATTTGAGTTACATCCTAATCTGATGGGACTTCTGAAGCTTTTCAAGAATCTTTCGGTAGATTGGTAGTGGCTTTCTGAAGTTCTGGGTTGAGAAGGATTCTAAGGCCATGTCTAGGCTCATCAGGAAAGAATGCTGTAATTGATTATTTAGGTCTGCTCTGGGCAGAAAGTGGAGGGAGTAACAGCCTGTATCAATGTATTTGGTATATTAGTGTTCCATAAATAATAGCTATTATAATTATTGCTGCTGTTATGACTAAGGTGTTTTTATGTCTCTCTTCAAATTTCTATATCTTCAACACAAAATGGGATCAATTAACTGCTTCGGTCACAGTAGCTATGCCTATCATTTTTATTGACTTGATGGTAAATGTGTATTATCTTCAGAGAAGAGCTGAAAAATGAAATCGGAATTTGCTCTTCCTGATTTTATTATATTAAACACTTAATATAATTAAGGGGAAAAAGCCTGATACAGTTACTAAGGGCAGAATGAGACTGGAGAGAAAAAAAGAGACAAGGGTGAGATGCAGTCATTATGAAACATTTGCACCATGTCTCATAGTTTCTTTAAAATATTAGCACAAGGGAGAAGATACAGCATGTTTTGCACTTAGATGGTCCATGACTTTCTAGACTTTTTTCCGGTTTTTTTCTCTGAGGCCAGATTTCTTTTCTGGGTAAATAGTCATGTTCCTGTCAGCCATAGGGGATTTTCTGAATCCTAAACAGCTGATTTTGTATTCTTACCCAATTCCTTCTATTTGAGAACTAAAATCTGATCAAACCCATAGTTTTAAATTTATGTATTTATAGGCATATGGAAGAATAGTTTATAGTCTGAGTATGATTTTTTTTTCCACCACAAATGTAGGAAAATTATGGGGAGTTTTAAAACAGTGCCTTATCAGGTTTTTTGTTGGTTGTTGTTTTTTTTTTTATTTTTTATTACTGATGACTTCATTCTGCTTGAATTCAGTGCTTCAGTTTCTTTGGGTAAACTAATAGATTATGTATGCAATGTTTGCTCTGTGTTGATTGAACTCATCTGGTGAGTTTGAGCCTGGCTCACACATTCACGTCATCAGCAGAAGCCTATGCATTGCATACAGGCACCATAGTTAGCTCACAGTCCTCAAGAGGAAGGGAAGCCAGTCCACATAGAGCTGTGCTCCCAGGGTTCAGAAAAGCAAATTTTTTTTCTTACTGTTATCAAATGCTCAAAAACTTCAAGTTTTTTTTATTTGAGAATAATTGACATACAATATTATATGAGTTTCAGGTGCACAGCATAGTGATTCAACAACTATGTTGTGCTGTGCTCCCCACAAGGGTAGACCCCATCTATCACCATTCAGTGCTGTCACGGTACCATTGACTATGTTCCTTGGGCTGTGCCTTCCATCCCCATGACTTACTCATTCCATAACTGGAAGCCTTTATCTCCTATTTTGCCCATCCCTCCACTCCCTCTCCTCTGGCAACCATCATAATGTTCTTTGTATTTATAGGTCTCATTCTGCTGTTTTGTTTGAAAGACTTTTCTTTAAGAAAAGCATAGTAGGGATCCCTGGGTGGCGCAGCGGTTTGCGCCTGCCTTTGGCCTGGGGCATGATCCTGGAGACCCGGGATCGAGTCCCACGTCGGGCTCTCGGTGCATGGAGCCTGCTTCTCCCTCTGCCTGTGTCTCTGCCTCTCTCTCTGTGTGTGTGACTATCGTAGATAAATTAAAAAAAAAAAAAGCATAGTAAAGAAACAACTATCTTGAGAGGTTGTTGTTGTTTTTTTTAAGGATTTATTTGTTTATTCATGAGAGACACACAGAGAGAGAGAGGCAGAGACACAGGCAGGGCAGAAGCAGGCTCTTCACAGGGAGCGTGATGCAGGACTCAATCCTCAATCCTGGGATCACGACCTGAGTCAAAGGCAGGCACCCAACCACTGAGCCATGCAGGCATCCCAATCTTGAGAGTTTTTAAATACATATTGAAGAAAAAGAAAGATATGTGATCCCTAAGGGTTTGTCTTTTCTTAATAAAAGGCATCGGCCACTGAGTGTCTGTAGAATGCATAGGGAGCCCAGAACCCTGTGCTAACTTTGTAAAGCTGTTGTAAGACGTCAATTAACTTATAATCTAGTTTGGGAAGAATGTTTTTCCTCCAAAAGATGTTCAGTCATTTTATTTTTAGTTAAAAGTCTAGTTTCAAAACTTTTTCACAAAAGACTAGATGACTTCTTTCTGTTGCTTTCAGATATCTCCTTTAACGTGAAATCTCATTTAAATTTTAAACTCAGTTGTCATTCTTGGGGATCTTCTGGCATGCACAGCTCTTTACAATGGGTCCCTTTATTCCTCTTCTCAGCTTCACCTGTCCCTCTTTGCTGCCCCTTCCCATATACCCTGCATACTAGAGCAGTGATTCTCATCTCCCCATCAAACACAAGTGTCCTTATGATTAACAAGTTGCTAAGAATTGAGTTCGAGTACCAATATTTGCAAGTGATATACTTCTGTCATTTATTAGATTAATTTCAAAATATCCCTGAAGTCCCAGCACTCATTTTTATCCTAACTAGCTCCCTAAATGAGAAAGGGAAGGGAGCATATATTTCCTGAGATGTGGGTGAGCCAGGACAAAAGAAATTGAGGATCATTGCTTGCCCAAATTGATTTGTTTGCATTCCCCCAAAGCAAGATGCTTTCTCATTTCTGTCCTTCATATTTCCCTTCTCTCTCCCTGAAATTTCCTCATCTCACTTGTCCAGCTGTTGAGCACCTATACATCCTTCAAGACTCTAAGGTGTCACCTTCTCTGTGGAGCTTTCCCTGCTCTTCTTCCATGGCCCTGCTCTCCCCTGTCAGTTTAAGCAGTCTCTCTCTCCTAACATCCCTTTTTAGACTACTGTTGTAGCAAGCCCATGGGTTGTAGTCTTCTGTATCCTCTTCAGTTCTCTCCCTCCCAGACCATGTGCTATTTGTGGACAAGGATTATAAACTGTTTGTTTTCACCTTCCCAGATCTTAACATAAGATCTGGCATGATAGGACATTCAGTTATGCCTCAGATGAACCAGAGAAGCTGAACAATTGTCGGAATGTGCCTAATGTTCTCCTCTTACTTCCTGGCCCTGAATTGTATCACATGATGTTGGTTCTGTTGAAACAATCATGACAAATCCAAGCTAAAAGGGGCCATTGGCTGACCAGTTTGGGGTTGCATGGATGAATCACTGGACAAAATGTGATTCCTGTGAGAAAGAAGTGACTAAAGTAAAGAGAGGAGAATCTTGGACAAGTAACAAAGATGGTATATTCTACTATCACTAGTTTTTTTTATATTTCTTCTTACTTCTTGTTGTGGCTTCCACCTTCTTTGTTTTTCCTATGCCCTGTGTGCCCACATGCTGACGTGTATGCTACTCCCCACAACAAAAATTCATCAGTGTCATTGAAATGAAGACTGGCACCTGCCAACTCTGTGTCACATCCAATCTTCAGGTCGAACAACTGGTCTCAAATTGGCAACTTCTTATTTGAGAAAATGAAATAACTACATTAAAATTTAACCAAATTCTGTGGATATGATTATAAGAAAAAAGTGACAGCTCTTTTAATTGCTCTAAAGGTCAGGACCTTACCTTACCTTTTCACTCAAAAGGCATTTATTAATCTCAAGTCAGATGTTTTGACCCTTAGAGCTAAATGTATTTACATAAAGACCATTTTTTGTTCACTTTTACTACTGATTTTACAGTTTTCCTAGCATATTTGAATTACATTATTGAATGTTCCAAATTTGGATGTCAGCTCCTTTAATAAGATCAAAAAGTAACTTTCCAGGATGATGTACACTGTGTGACTGTGTTTGTCTGATTATGTCTTGCAGTGGCCGTCCTACAAGTGGAAGCACTGACCGCATCCAGAAGTTACGAAAAGAATATTATCAGGCCCGGAGGGAAGGATTCACCTTATATGAAGACGATGAGGGAAGAGCAAGGCTAGATTATGACCTCCACTGGGTAAGCCCATGCCTCATTCTCATCATTGAATTCATCTCTACTGAGATAGTTTCTAGCAGAAGAACATGGCCAAGAATGTTCTATACATACCAAGTTATATTTAGGTTACTTGAGTTTTACAGATATGAACATTACCCAAACCACAGCCATCTTGTCCCACAGAAGTTGTTTACATAAATCAAACCACACTAATGCACAGTAGTTTATTTTAATTGCTTTCATATTTACTCTCTGTTGGACTTGTATACCAACGTGTTAGGGTGGAGCAGATGGTCGATATTTTAAAGAGGACAAAGAATCTACTGAGCCTTAATCCTTGCCTCCCATCACTTGGGTTTCAGAATCTGGGCAAGCATTAACAGACCATGCAACATAAGCTATCTCTCCTTTGGAAAAGGATATTAGAAGTAAATTTCAGAATGGCTATCTTCAGAGATATCAGTTGTTTATATATTGCACCTGAATAATTCCCATTTTGCCGATCTTACCAGGACACTAAGATAATTTTATTTATTTATTTATTTATTTATTTATTTATTTATTTATTTATTTATTTTTAGAAATTTATTTATTTATTCATGATAGACACAGAGAGAGAGAGACACACACAGAGAGAGAAGCTGAGACACAGGCAGAGGGAGAAGCAGGCTCCATGCCGGGAGCCCAACGCAGGACTCGATCCTGGGACTCCAGGATCGTGCCCTGAGCCAAAGGATGGCGCCAAACCACTGAGCCACCCAGGGATCCCCCAGATAATTTTATTTAGAGATAAGAACAGTTTTTGTATTAGAGCGTTGTCTTTGCCAAATCCTTCAACATTTGCAAACACAAAAGAATATTGTGACCTCTAAAAAGATTTCGTGGGTTTTTTCAGTATAGTATGATTCAATCTCTTGTCTTTTTCAAGGCAAGGCTGTATGAACAAAACACACTTAACTTTTGGGCATCCACAAAAATACCAGAGAGTACTTAGAGTTGGATTAAAGTACATGTCACATATTAGGAATGGGTGCCTGCCACTGAGTCGGTGTTCAATAAATCCTGGCTCTCGTTACTAACATTATTGGACCAGAGCTGTCCGTGGTAATAGTGATGTCCTTGCAGTGATGCCAGCTCTCACTCATCCTCTTTGATGGCTACTGCCTTCTACTGTCGTTTTTAGTGCTGTTTTGAGAAGCACATAAGGAACTCTTTTATCCCTGGTGGCCACTAAAGACACCAGCTCTTTTGAAGGACAAATCTATTAAAGGAAAGTTTCCTTTCCTGATTTTCACACTCATATTCATGCTCACGAGGTCAGGGTTGGGAGAATCCAGCAACCAAGATGACTGCTTCCATTTTTCACTACGGTGCTGCGGCATCTCAGGCATAGCCCCTCTCAGTTTTATACTAGTGTTTGAAGGCCAGCTGCAGTACCCACCATTGTCTTGCAAAGTACCTGAAACTCCTCGGCTCAGTAGATTCTCCCTCCTATGATGGAGTTTAATCAGAAATGCAAAGAAAGAATTAGCAGCCTCCAACCAAATGGCTCTGGCCACTTCCAGAGATAGGCATTTCATAACTGTAGATCGTAACAAATAGCTTTTTGTTGATTTTATTACCCATGTTAGGTTAGGATTAAACAGAATGGCATTTATAGCGATGGGGCAACTGGTCACTTAGACTCTCAGTGACACAAGAGAAAGATTTCCATGGAATAACAATTTAGATAACAATGTACTCCATTTTAAACTTAATTGAGATCAATGTATGAACTTTGATGACAGACTGTGTACATAAGGCTCTGTCTCCTCGATCAAATAAACAAGCAATGAAATGAAATAAAGGGAAGTTGTTTCCACCATAACCAAAACAGACCACCGTGTCCAAGGCACTGAAAAGTCTCCATCTCAACATCCCTGTGAACTCCTATGAGCAAAATAAGACAAGTAATTTTAGATTAAGCAGTCCAGGTTGTTTTGACTTTATTTTATGTGATCTCCTGACATCAAACTAAAAGGCTGAAAATGCTTAACATTCATGAGATGTTTTCCCTGACCCTCACCAAACCTGAAATAGATCACCCATACCTTCAGGTCCTCTCTATCTTAAAGATTCTGTTTTTATCCCAAGCCAATATGGAACCAGACAATGTAGTGAGTAAGAAGTATCTCTCTTTTGTGTTTCCCATGCTCAAATGTATTGAGCATTGCCAAAAATGACTGATTTTATGTTTCCCAGACAAGTGGGGACTAAGGCTTCCCAAAGGGATGCCTACAAAATGCACGGTCATAAAAGACTCTCTATGATTGCTTCAGATACTCCAAACCAGGGATTAGAATCTCAGTGTCCTTTCCCCACTCTCCACAAGCCAAGGAAAAACACTGGTATCTTTTGTCTGCACAGGCCTGAGAAATTGCACCGTTGTCTTGCTACTTTGGGATAGATCTAGGAAAGCAAGTTTAGAAAGTTAACATTTCATCGTACCTGCCAGTCAGCCAGATCTAACAAGGCAGCTTTTATTGAGACTGTAGTTCCTAATCAGTCTGGTCTTCGGCATCACGGAGGGTGCTTGTTAAAATTGGATCACCAGGGACACGTGGGTGGCTCAGTGGTTGAGTGTCTGCCTTTGGCTCAGCGCATGATCCCAGTGTCCTGGGATCAAGTCCCACATCGGGGTCCTTGCTGGGAGCCTGCTTCTCCCTCTGCCTATGTCTCTGCCTCTCTCTGTGTGTCTCTCATGAATAAATAAATAAAATCTTTAAAAAAAAATTGGATCACCAGCCCATGGAGGAGAGGGGTGGGGCCCAAGGGAGGGCTGCCAGGTGTTTCTCCATGTGGTTATCAAGGTTTCCAAGCCACAATTCTAAAAATAGGACATTGATTCCAATCTCAGCAAAGTAGTTCCAGCCTCTCTAATAAAAAAATTGTCACATGGACCAGCATCATCAAAAACCACTTTCATGGACTCAGAACTTCCTGGGCCTGATTTTATTCCCTGGAGTCACACAATACTGGGAAGCTTCTAAAGTATTGAGAAGGAAATTAGGAAGATAAGTTACCTAAGAACTATTTTTAATAGACCAGACAGAAGTATGCTCACAGATATCTTCAAAGCCAAACTTTGTAAAGCAGTCAATGGAAAAGTTATTAGGATCTATGAATATTTTAAAAATAGATTATTGTCAATGGGACTAATAATTCTCTCTTTGGCCTGCCTTGGACTTTCTGATTTTCCCAGGTATCCTATATGTAGTTCTCTGTCCAGTGGCTCGGAGCGGAAGGATTTTCCCACTGCTCTCTTGGGTTCTCATTTGTTCCCATGGCACTTGCTTCTCCCTCTCTTTTCTCTATGTCTCAGATCCAATATTAACAGATATTTGCTCCATCTTAACGTAAGCCAGGTGCCAATCCAAGAATATAGAACTATCTCTACCTTCGAGGAATTCATAGTCGAGCCAGGAATACAAACATCTAAGGTAAAACGAAGAAAGGACAATAATATATATGTGAGAAAGTCTCTAGTATAGAGAAGTATAAGCTTCTAAATGAGCTCAGCAATAGCAGTTCATTCTGCTGGAGGCCGGGTGTGCAGCCAGGGCTGTGGGGACTCTACAGAGATCATTTAGGAGTTGCCTCAGCGGACAGATTTGGTTCCTTTTCTCTCAGATTTCTTTTTCCCAAAGGAGCCTCTGATTTATTCACTTCATTTGTGTTAAAATAAATGAACACACACAGATTGCAAGGTTTGTAAATATGGACATGAGACCTTAAAAATCTTTTCAGCCAGCCTGTTCTGTAGCTGTTTTCCCATGGAGGCTCTGAAAAGCTGTAAAGAACAAGTTGAGAGAATTTCAATGGCTGGAAGTAAAATGGCCTGGCGAGTTTTTATAGGCCCAATTAAGTAAGCAAGATATGCTAGCTGTGAAGTGTTAATATTTGCCAAAAGAAAACATAATACCTGTTATCTCCTGGTATGTTATTTTCTGTAAAACTTGTTAAGACAATCACAGTCCTCTGGCAACAGGCTAGAGTATTTTTTTATTAGCAGATAAAGATTATCTGCTTATTTAACGTCAGCATGAATATCCTGTAAAGTAATTTCAGAAACGGGATGGCTCCACAGTTTTCTAAAAATATCAGTACCTTTGTCTTTTTTCAAGAGCTGCATGGTACATACCATACACTTCCTCCTCTTCTTAACACTCCCGCTAAATTAGAACTTTTATCTATGAAAGGAGTTTGTAGACACAGATGGGAAGGAGGTACTAGAATTTCCACTGCCATAGAATACGCGGTAGTATATCTTTCTGGCAAAGGGGATTGGTTCAGGTGATGGTTGGGTGAATAAATGAAAATACTCTGAAAGATTTGCTCACCCATTTTTGAAGATGGCCTAGGAGCCAACTTGAAGAAACATGGTTGGCAACTGTCTAGACAAGAAACACATCTGGTAAATTCTGCAGTCAGAGGAAAGAAAGAGCAAGATGCTGAGATCATGCTAACCATTTTATGAAAGGGATTAAAGATGGAATGTGTAATAGCCACATAAGCGTAAAAACTATCAGAAGGTTTTTTTCTAAATGTGAGGGATAAGAGAAATGAGCTCCTGCTGTCAGTGTCCAATACCGAAATTGACTTGTCTATATTTTCCCTCTCTGCATCTTAAAGGCATCTGAAAAAAAACAAAAAACAAAAACAAAAAAAAAAAAAACAACTAAGGACACTGATTAAAAGTTCTAGATTAGTCAATGGCTCTTAAATCACAAAGAACATAAATCTACTCAAACTGTCCTAAGCAAAAAGGGAAATTGTGTTGGTTTAAAATCCATAGGTATATCTAACTTCAGGCAAAGCTGGATCCAGCTCCATTGCTATTCTCTTTGTAGGCACCATTCCCAGGGAGTTCCCTCTTGTAGTGACGAGACAACCATTGGCAGCTCCAACCCAACACCTTTATGAAAGTGGTCTTACTTCCAGTACATCCAGGAGGTCTCAGATCTGATGTTCAGTGCAATGCT